ACATAATTGTTCAATCAAGCACTAGCAGAAGTTGGACATGAGTCGACGGCGAAATTGAAGACAAACATGTTGCGAAGACGCAAAGGCAGACAACACCAACATGAAATCGAACATCGGGCTGCTGCGGAAGTCGTAATGATGCCAACCGAGCAACCGCGTGCCAGGCTCGAACACCCAAGAAATGATGGCATGCGCATCAAAAAAATAATAATTCAGGATCAAAAAAAAATAAATCAGGATCAAAAAAAAATTAAACCGTTTTACAAGCACACACACGTAGGCCCCAGGGCCAACCGGGGGTGGCCAGTTAGCAAGTTAACAAGTTAGCAATCCTTCGGGGGGGGGGGAGGGCCAGTTAGCAAGTTAACAAGTTAGTAAAGTCGGAGGGGGGGAGGGGGGGTTAGCAAGTTAACAAGTTAGGGGGGAGGGCCAGTTAGCAAGTTAACAAGTTAGTGAAGTCGGTGGCGGGGGGGGGGTTAGCAAGTTAACAAGTTAGCGAAGCAATGCTTCGGGGGGGAGGGCCAGTTAGCAAGTTAACAAGTTAACAAGTTAGTGAAGTCGGGGGGGGGGGGGGTTAGCAAGTTAACAAGTTAGCAATCCTTCGGGGGGGAGGGCCAGTTAGCAAGTTCAGAAGTTAGCAATCCTTCGGGGGGGGGGGGCGAGGGTCTGTTAGCAAGTTAGCAAGTTAGCAATCCTGAGAGAGGGAAGGGCCAGTTAGCAAGTTAGCAAAGTCGGAGGGGAGGGGGCGAGGGGGGGCGGAAGTCAGCAAGTTGACAAGTCAGCACTCCTTCCGGGGGGAAGGCCAGGTAGCAAGTTAACAAGTTAGCAATCGGGGGGGAGGGCCAGTTAGCAAGTTAACAATCTAGCAGGGGGGGGGGGGAAGTTAACAAGTTAGCAATCGGGGGGAGGGCCAGTTAGCCACGGGGGAGGGCCAGTTAGCAAGTTAACAATCTAGCAGGGGGGGGGGGAAGTTAACAAGTTAGCAATCGGGGGGAGGGCCAGTTAGCCACTTAACAATCCAGCACAGTTTGGGGGGGGGGGGGTCGCGTTGAGATGAATCACGGAATCACGGAGTCCGATCAGCATGGCTGCGCGCACGCGTACATACCTACCTACCAACATACACACACACATACTAGATACTACATACTACATACACATGCATGCATACATACGTACATACGTACATACATGCATATACACACATAAATGCACACGCAAACAGGCACACACACACATACATACATGCATGCATACATACATACATACATACATACATACATACATACATACATACATACATACATACATACATACATACATACCTACATACTTACATACATACATACATACATACATACATACATACATACATACATACATACATACATACATACATACATACATACATACATACATACATACACACACATACATACATACATACATACATACATACATACTACTACTACTACTACTTCTACTACTACTACTACTTCTGCTGCTACTACTACTACTACTGCTACTACTACTACTACTACTACTACCACTACTACTTACTACTACTACTACTACCACTACTACTACCACTACTATTACTACTGCTACTACTACTACTACTACTATTACTACTACTACTACTACCTACTACTACTACTACTACTCCTACTACTACTTCTTCTACTACTACTACTACTGCTACTACTACTACTACTACCACTACTACTACTACTACTACTACTACTACTACTACTACTACTACTACTACTACTACTACTACTACTACTACTAACTACTACTACTACTACCACTACTATTACAACTACTATTACTACTACTACTACTACTACTACGACTACTACTACTACTACTACTACTACTACTACTACTACTTACTACTACTAACTACTTATACTACTACTACTTACTACTACCATTTAACTTTCACTACTTTACTACTACTACGACTACTACTACTACTACTACTACCACTACTATCACTACTACAACTACCACTACTACTACTACTACTACTGCTACTACTACTACTACTACAGCTTTAATTTATTTTGATCCTGAATTAATTTTTTTTGATCCCTTAGCCAGAAATGATGGGCACATCCGCCAACTTAGCACCAGCCAAGCTCTCTGCCCACTCAACAAATATTGGGCAGCTCTATTTTTAGGTGTCAGTGGCATTGGAGCTCCAGCACGCACCTGAGCACCATTTCAAGTCCGAAGTGTCGCTCGGATGTCCAGTTTTGGCAGGTGGTCTTGCTGATTCAAACGTAGACATCCTGAGACCAGAGGCATGAACAAGCAATAAGCAGTGAGTCGCCATGTTTGACCTTAGGCATGGCAATGATGCATGTTTTGTCCTTCAGAGCATCTTGGCGCGCCATTTCAAACATGAACAGCATTCTACTAGCCCCGGAGTCTCTATAATATTGCTTGCCATTCCGGCGCCATTGTAGGTTTCAAGCGCAATGCTCCCTAAAAAGGGACGTTTAAACAAGTTTGTGCAGAAAGGGGCGCGATGGTTTTTTGCATGTCAATTCAGGGATGCCCCGGCAAAAAACGTCAATTAAGTTGTCGCTGAGTGTTTTCATTGCACCCGATTGCCCCAGCTCCGAACGAAGCCGTTGCAAACACATTAATCAATCAATCAATATATTGTTGATCTTATTTTATCTCATCTTACTTTAATATCAAATCTATTTTGTCTACCTTTTCCTTTCTTTTCTTTTCTTTCCTTATCTATGAATCTATTTATCCAGCTGTCTATCAATCTAAATCTAATTAAACCTATTCTAGACTAATCGAATCCAATCTAATCCATCTATCTACTCTAATCTAATCTAATCCAGGTACCAAGCCATCCATCCATCCATGCATCCATCCATCCATCCATCCATCCTTCCTTCCTTCCTTCCTTCCTTACTTCCTTCCTTCCTTCCTTCCTTCCTTCCTTCCTTCCTTCCTTCCTTCCTTCCTTCCTTCCATCCATCCATCCATCCATCCAATCAATATATCAAGCTATCTAGCCATCTGTTTGTCTTTCTATTCATGTTTCTATTATCCATCCGTCCGTCCGTCCGTCCATCCATCCATCCATCCATCTATCCATCTATCCATCTATCCATCTATCTATTATTTAACTACCTACCTACCTACCTACCTATCTAATCTATCTATGTATCTATCTTTCTATGTATCTATCTTTCTATCTGTCAATCCATCTCATCTAATCTAAATCTAAATCTAATCTATTCCAATCCAATCCAATCTATATATCTGTCTATCTGTCTATCTATCTATCTGTCTATCTATCTATCTATCTATCTATATCTATCTATCTATCTATCTATCTATCTATCTTTCTTTCTTTCTATTCTATCTATCTATCTATCTATCTATCTATCTATCTATCTATCTATCTATCTATCTATCTATCTATCTATCTATCTATCTATCTATCTATCTATCTATCTATCTATCTAATCTATCTATCTATCTATCTATCTATCTATCTATCTATCTATCTATCTATCTATCTATCTATCTATCTATCTATCTATCTATCTATCTATCTATCTATGTGTCTATCTAATTTCTCTAACCATCTAGCTATCTATTTATCTATCTATCCGTCTATCTATCTAATTAGCTATCTAGCTATCTGTCTATCTAATCTATCTATCTATCTATCGATCTATCCATCCATCCATCTATCTATCTATCTATCAATCGCATCTAATCCAAATCTAGTCTAATCTAATCTAATCCTATCCTATCCTATCATATCTATCTGTCTGTGTCTGTCTGTCTATCTGTCTGTCTATCTATGTACCTGTCCGTCTGCCATGTGTAGTTTTTTGCTACTTTTGTCTGGTGTGAGTTTTGGATGTACCAAGCGCAGGCCATGACCACACAATGCTTCACAGCCCCCAGCGCAAGGATCGACGACGAGCTCAATCTGCTCTCCGGGGCTCTTGCCTCAGGCACTTCAGATGGAGGGTACTTTTGTCACTCGCCGATTTGCATTGCAGATGGCCAACCTCCAGGCATGGTTCAATGGTGCACGGACTCATCAAAGTGAACTCCCTGTACTCAGGCTGTTGTGTTTTGAACATCACCTTCTAGGGCTGATGGTTGGTGATTGAACCAATTGTCCTTGGCGGGCGTAGCGTTGTGTTCTCCCAGACGGCAGGCTTGATTTGCTTCGGTGTCCAGCTTAAAAGTTCACTTTGGGCCGCTTGTGAAGCTGAATTAGGTTGGTTGCGAGTTGGATTTCGAGCCCGACCAAACCCGCCCTCCCCCCACCCCACCCCCGAGGTTCGCAATGTTGCGGACTTGTGCGCAGCGCCTGGTGGCTGGAGCCAGGCCGGCCGGATGGTTGAAGACATGAGAGGGAGGTGAACCCCTTTGGGGGGGGGTTAGAGCTGCAACTATGGGCCTCATTTGATGCTCGATGAAAGGCAAGCAAGGCTCAAAGAGGGAAGAAGCCGAATTTTGGCCCAATTGACCCTGTAGCTGGGATTGAGAGGCAATTCAATTTGATGCAGGGGAGCGTGCGCTTCAGAGGTAGCTGTTGTGTCCTTGGCAAGCTGGCAGAATGTTTGAGGCTCGGAAGTGTGCTTTTGTACTTGGCAGACACTTTCCTTTGTTTTTGTCACAGGCTGGAGCATTTGGCACGGATGGGAGAGCTACACGTCTACAGCTTGCAATTGTGGCAACATTCGCAGCATTTGTTTTGCCAATGTGTATAGATAAAATGAGACATGTTTCAGTAATAACACATCTGAGAACTTACATCATTTAAGTTTTTCTATCGATACTTGTCCTTCTATATGTGAGAGTGGTTTGAGTTACACATCTGATTATCTTGGTTTAGGAAGGCTACTTTCTATGCTAAATCAAATTAAGATAAGAGAAGTGTGGATGTAGTAAAAGAGTTACAGTTAAATGAATAGTGACAAGAAGATGTTAAAACACAGTTCGAAATCGTAATGTAAAAGCTTTTAGTGCAGCATACAGACAATAAGAACAGCTATGTCGAATTCAACAAGTCAGCATAGCGACCTAGGAGCAGATTTCAAACTTATGTACTATGCTGTCTCTTCCCCCTAGTCCAGTTCTTTGGATATATGTGTACGTATCCTGCATGACTTTTGCCGTTTTTCCTTCTTTTTTTTAAACAAGTAAGCCGCAATGAAAAGAAAAGCATCATATGCCAGTTCAAGCTGTAATTCACACACTTTGTTTTGTGCAAACTTGATCATGCTTCATCCTGAGGATCGTTAGTATCAGCAATAGTCTCATAGGCTTCGTTTCAGGGTTCCCTGCGCTGAAACGAAGCGGCGCGAGGTTCTGGCGTTGAGACTCATCCAGCCCGGCTTGGACCCGCCGCGCATTGTGGCGGTGGACAAGTACGCGCTCCGGCTGAAAGGGTCGCTTGGAGCTGCTTGAGTTTTGGCAGCGTTCCACGTGAGAATGAAGCCAAGAGGCTTAATGTGAGCGCAGGCTTTTGCAGGAATTGCAGGGGAACCCACGCAACCCACCTCATTCTCATTGTAATCTCAGGTTGACTGGGGGCGGTCAGGGATAAAGCTTGGTTGGGTTGGCTCTAGATATCACGGCTTCAACACAACAAGGCTTTCATGCATTTGCTTTGTGGCCTTCTGAGTGTTTTATGACACTATATATCACCTAACGGCGATTTTTGAGTGCCGCAGTCACAACCCGTCCAGTCATGGACCTGCATGGCAGCCTGCTCGTGCGAGCCAAGGAGATGCAGCCGAAGCTTGGCATGACCTGGGCGTGTGGCCTGCTTTGGGGCTGATGCTCCGGCACAGGTCGCAGGCTTGATGCAGGTTTGGCTTGGGCCTCTTTCAGGTTGCGGCGCCGCGCTGCCAACCGCAAGTGGAGAATGAAGACCCCCAACTGGAAATTCTAACCTCCCCAAGCAGAAATAAACAAAGCTTGACATCAGGGCCAATTGCATGAAGCCCGAAAGCGGCGTTTCCTTCAAGCTCTAAGACCGTCACTGACAAGAACCTCACTGGCCATGGGTCACTAGGAACACCCGACTGCTGCCTGGGTCCACGCCCAGGATCCCTGGCGTGGTGCAGGTCCAAGGCTGGAGCTTTTCTGGGAGTGTGCGGGGCGGTGGGCCTCCACGGGGACGAACCAAAAACCAAATTTCAGGAAGTGATGCCTCAGAGCCAAGCGGCAAGGAGTTTTTTTTTCTCCTTGCGGCAGCTGCAACGGCTCTTTTCCAGAGGCTTGATTTTGACACGAGCCACCCGCGCTTGCGGCCGGGGTGGGACCTGGTAGGTGACATCACCCACCGCTCCACTGTGGAGGCCGTGCTTGGACACTTTGAAGGCCAGCTTGCCGATCTGGTGGTGTGCGAGCCTTGGAGCTTGACTGGAACTTTTCTCTCGGCGTGAGTGCACCCTGATGTTGTCGACCAGGCTTTTTCACCATATTCTATCCTTTTCTCCGTAGTCTTACCTATGTCCAGCTTGTGGCCCTTGGCTTCATCAATCTGGTCCCCTGAAGCGTGAGACGCTAATTGCACGCCCACCCATCACAGGCTTGAGTCCTTAAGTAACAGTGTTCCATTTCGGGGACCTATTTTCGACCCACACCCATGAATGAGTGTGCCTTCTGTTACGGTACTTTCGTGGGGGCCCTACCCGGTACCTCGCTCGGGCTGAGCTGAGGATGGCGCTCCTGATGCCACCGGACGCTCGGACTTCGATGAGCACCTTGGATCTGGATGTGTTGTACATTGCTTCCCCGCAACTGAGCAGCTGCAAATGCTTTTTCGCTGCAGGCCATGTCGTTTTGTTTGTTTGTTTGCTTGCTTGCTTGCTTGCTTGCTTGCTTCTTTCTAAGAAGCCCTTACACCCTTTGGCTACATTGGTGTGCTGACGATGTCCCTCGCAACAATTGGGGAGGGCTGTTTTTGCCTCGAGGGACGGTGTTTAGTTTAGACGGAATCGAAAGGTCACCTGGCATTTTCTGGAGTCCTCAACCTGAGCACAAATGGGTCTGCCCATGTCTGCCCCAAAATAGGGCAACTCTTTTTGGAACCAAAAGGAAGCTGACCATTTGCAGGGGTCCCTATTCTCGAGAAACACCCAGATACGGCACACGCCTTCCACTCAGAGGTACGTGCAACACCAGCTGCTGATCTCCGAGCTGCTGCTGGCGGAGTCTTTACTGCGGAGGGGCGGGGCCTTTGTGGCCAAGGTCTTCCGAGGCGATGGACCCTCGCGCTGATGTGTCCAAGGGATTCGAACCACCTAAAAAGAAGCTTCGCATCCCTTGCGCCAAGACAGTTGATGGATTGCACCGCTTTGCCCGGGCAGGCCCGGATTCCAGGGTTTTGCATCAAAATCGTCCAAGAGCGAAGGCAACAGCTCGCATGCCCTTCAAAGCGCCGCAAATGCTTGGGCCACAGCAGAAAAGCAGCATCATGGCGCTTGGACGGTGCCCCCCCAGCCCTCCCCCCCCAGCGCCCACTGTAACATTCGCGCGGGACCTCGCAACCCCAAGGCTTGGGTGGCATCGCCAGGAATGCACGTTTTGCGCATGTTTGAGAGTATTGTGACGTGGTAAGTCAGCCAGCGGTAGCTCCAACAATGAGGCCGTCCCAATTCAAGCCTGAAGGCTGAAAGTGGGCAGGCCAGAGGGCAGGCATACAAAATGATACGGGCCGCAGGCTCGTCATAGCGCATCAACTAGGCTGCTGACTACTGATGCTAGGTGGGGTGGCGGGCAACGGTCTCCACACAATGCCCTTGGCTTTGCCCAAGCACCCACAATGGCTGGCATTCATGCCCAACATGTTCCAAGGGTGGCCATCCCTGGCTCTGGAGCAGGGTCTGGGGTAGCACGCATGGAAGGGGAATCTAGCGCAACCGTGCCAGGGGAGCACTCGGCGGAGCTCTACGCCCGCCTGCAGCGGGACTTTGAGGCACACACGGCTTTGCCCCTGCATGCCGTGGGCCCAGCGAAAGAACCAATTGCGCTTGGGCAGGTCCAAGGGGCACGACGGCTTGACATGCTCGTTTCCTGCTTGCAGTTGCCTCAGAAAGGATTGGTGACAGGGCCGCTAGGTCACGGTCTCATGATGTATCGCCATGCTGCCTCGTGAAAAGTAGGAGGTTCAGTAGCCCCCGGCAAGGAAGAGAGTGAGAGTTCTAGGCATCACGTATTCTAGGCAATGCACGGTTTGGATCGGCGGTTAAGACTGGCACCAGTCATCCATGAGGGAAACATCGCTTACAGATGTCTACTGAATCGAAAGCTTTGGCCGGGCCATGACCAATCCCCCAATGCCAGGAGGTGCTTTGCTGCAAGCCCCGGGCCTCCAGGAACAGCAGCCAGGAGTCTTTCGTGGTCGCCCGGCGTCTGTGGGTGTCGCTCTTGTGGGACGATTAAAAAAAGCATGGAGTACAGATCATGGCAGCTATGAGGTCTTGGTCGGCTAGAGTGGAGAGGGTTCCAGTCTATTTGGATCAGAAGCTGCGACAGATGAAAGGATGTCAGGGCCTTTGTCTCAGCTTGCTGCTTGCCATCGGATGGCAAAGGCTATCGTGCCACCAAGCTGGGCCATGGACATGGGAAACCTCGGTAAACGAACAAGTCGACACAACCCTGCGGCACACCCAAAATGCGAGTTTTGCCAACAGGGACTGGGGGCCACTTACTGAAGCTTCCAGGTCGGTCCGTCCGTGGGTCCACGGTCGGTCCGTGGGTCCGCTCCCAGGTCTGCCGTGGCTTCCAGGGTGCCGCCGCCACGGCGCCTCGGACCTTGTGCGAGGATGGGTTACTGCCTGGTCGAAGAGCGAGGTCAGTAAGGGGTCCCCTTGACACAATTGGAAACGAACCCGCGAGTCACTTTTGACACTTATGGGGGTGTGACACTTGCGTGGGGGGCCCTTTTAACCGGTTAAACGAGAAATAGGGCAGAAGGCACACCGATTCTATGCGTTGGCCATGACTGCCCTCTTGCTCGAAGCAACTGCGCCACATGGTGGCAGAAAGCTGTTGAACCAAATGCATAATGCTTTCACAAGGCTGGACCTCAAGCTTCACGGACAAGATTCGAGCTGCATGCAGAAACCGATGCAGTTAGCCCAGCAGGGGTTGCGGCTAAACTTGCAACATGGGGCCCAGATTGTAGTAGTTACCCATTGGATCCCACACTCAGCAATCGCTCCCAGCTGGCCTTGACTCTGAACGCCTTAATTGAATTTATGCAACGCATCCATCCATCCATCCATCCATCCACCCATCCACCCACCCACCCACCCACCCACCCACCCACCCACCCACCCACCCACCCACCCACCCACCCACCCACCCACCCACCCACCCACCCAAACCCTTCCATACAAACCCTTCCATACAAACCCTTCCATCCAAACCCTTCCATCCATCCATCCATCCATCCAGCCAGCCAGCCAGCCAGCCAGCCAGCCAGCCAGCCAGCCAGCCAGCCAGCCAGCCAGCCATCCATCCATCCATCCATCCATCCATCCATCCATCCATCCATCCATCCATCCATCCATCCATCCATCCATCCATCCAATCGCGACTTGGACAGGAGGTAATTTTGCAAGCGTCGTTGATCAGGTTCATCGCCGGGATCGCCGTTTCCTCTTTCAACATGAGGATGAGTTGGGTTGAAGCATTTTGACAAAACCACTTAGGCCTTTTCAATCCAGGTCTTTTCAGTGGAAATGTTCCCATTCTTGAAGGCCGCCTTTCAAAAAAAAAAGGCAGCGCTGTTGAAGTGGCAACTTTCTTTCAGGTTGCTCGGGTCATAAGACATCGGAGGTGCAGGCTGGCGAGCCTTGCCGGCCGAGGCCTACAGCGCGGAGCGCCACGAGGAGCTGGCGGACCTGGGGGACGGTGCGCCCAAGGGCTTCGCGGCCTTCGTGGCCTGTGGGGGACGTTCCTGGGCTGCTATGGGGCCAAGGGGTGCCCAATAGGGTGCCCATAAAGTTGCAGACTTCTTTTTTTGTTTTCGTTTGGGGGAGGGGAAGGGGGGGGGAATGTGGCATGACCAAGGTCTGAAATACTAGTATCGCTCAATGAGTGTCATTGGGCTATGCCAGGCTGTACTGAACAGGCAATGGGCAGAGGCAAAGGTGTGCTGGCGAAGCAGAGGGTCATGGCCAAAATATCCAGTATCGTGATGAAGCATTTCTGCACTATGTTCCAAGCTTGTTGTCGAGAGAAGCGGCAGTGTCCGACTTGTTGTGTTTGTCCAACTGATTGTGAACTGTGGTGCCCCTCTTGCCACATACTGAGGCGATAGTTTGGACGCAGATGCTTGGCGGCATAGACTCAACGAACAAGCTTGCAGGCTGATGTGGCCGTTTAGGCCAGCACGATGTGGGGGGGGGGTCGGGCCACGCTTTTCAGGTAGCCTTTTCTTGCCGGATCAGGTTGATGGCTTACTTTGTCGATTTGCGGGGAGGTTGGGAAGACTGCACATGTAAAGGCTCAAAGTTTGTGAAGGGTTCTGTACGACAGAGGGCAGTGTTTCACGAGCTGCTTTGCCAGGGCCAGGATCCCCCCACCAAATTGGCAGGTCAGTCGGCTGTCCATGGATTCGCTTATGGTATGCGATCCTCCACTTGGTTGTTGGACGCATATTGTTGGGCAACATACTTCTGATTTCCTGGTGAGTCATGGTCCATGGGCCGCCCATTTCCAAGGACACAAACTATCCTGTGGCAACTGGCCATCGGGTGCTCGACCCTGTGGCACCACCGCTCTCTGCGCCATATATGTCAGCCATCGAGGCACGCCCCCAGGACTTTTCCCACTCCCTAGGTTATCATGTTTTTTTCGGCGGCTGCTAAAGCGTGCGGGAATGAACGGGGTGCTCCCTCAAAGAGGGTGACGTTATGCTTGAATGTGTTGTTGGGATTTTCATCGCCAGGCTTCCTTTGTTTTTCCATTCTCGGTTACTTGCTGTTTGGTGAGAGGATGCATCACTTGCATAGCAGCAAAGTGCCGGGGACATACAACGTGCTAGATCGCCGGCGCTCCCCGGTGCTTGTACAATTGCAATGGCAAAGCTTTATGATGCTTATGCACCTCTATGCCTTCCCTTTGAATAGTTTGATGACCACGGATCGAACGTACAACATGCTACCGGGCAAGGTGCCTCCCAGAAAGTTGCTTGGCCTGAACAGCCATGCTGTTAGGAGCGCCGCGGCCAAAAACGCGCGCAAGGCGGGGACACGCTGCACAATTGGGTATCTCCAAGCACAAAATGAGAGACTTTCCTACCTTCAGAAACATCCCCGAAACACTTGTCCCCAACGAACGAACGGCGTGAGCAACGAGGCATGGGTAATTGTCGCTCTTTTGGCAGTGTGTTACGTGGGTTGGCTGTCAAGCGGATGCAAGGCATTGGGTCCAGGGATGCCCCAGCATTGGCTCGAGTCATTACGAGTTGTAAGTTTGCATGGGAGAGCCCGGCCACAGATCCGAAGGCGGAGCAAACTATACACCAGCCAAAGCACGGCCTGGGCATCTATTTCGTAAATCCTGCACTTTCTTGGACACATGCACCTTTGCAAGCGTTTGTTTTTGCTTCATACAGGAATCAAGCCCCAGGCGTATCTTGGGGCAGCTTGCTATGATGAACGCCCACGGAGTTGTTACAGCGGATGGAGAAATTCTTTGCAGCTTGCAAAGTGCGGGCCGGAACTGTTGCACCGTTCGCCAGGCAGCGCCAGCGCATGACAAAAGGGTGCCAAATGCCAAGAGGCCAGGTCACAAGGGATCCAGGTTCTCCAGGCAAGTCTGCCTCGAAACGGTTTACAACATGAAATTCCCCAGGCGGACAGCTGTAAACACGTGCTCCCAAGATTCAACGTTGCGGTGTTCTTTTGGCTACTGGGCCGTGACAGCTGCAAGGAGTTGCAGAAGTATTTCAGAGGAGGGACGACAGATTATGTGCGAGCATCGCGGTATGTTGCATCAGGCAGGGTGAATCCTTCCATGCTTCAATGAGGCGTTGTGGGTCCTCATGATGTTGCCCAGTACTTCAGTGAAGGTCACTGAGCTTAGTCTTTGCACGATTCGTGGCTGGGCGATTGATTGCGTTCTGCCGTGCCGGGTGGGCTCAGCTCTATATCAGCAGGCCTTTAGTCGGGATCCATGGAGTCCGGGGCCCAAGTCCAGAAGTGGTCGACGTTCAGCTTGTTTTCGCGTTGGCTGGCTATGTGTTTCTTTTGGGCAATCGCGCGAACAAAATTGAAGACAAAGAGGGCGAACCCACAATAGCATGACGATTTTTCCTGAACGAATCAAAGTGTCCGGGTGTTTTCCGCAGATCCAGCGATGCCCAGAAGAGTCTCAAAATGAGGCTCAATTGCAGAAGAGAGCTCCATGGGCCTACCCTGGTGCCCGGACGACTGCCCCAAGCCGGCAATTGTATGAAGCAAGCACAAGACTACAAAGTAGAATGGTGGCGGTTGGTTGCATTGCAGGTGCTGCAACAAGTAAAGCCAAACATATGTTCAGCATGACCTGTCCGTCCCAAGTGTGAAGGGCATCGATTGCAGTAGATGGCCGTTCGCAAGGTCATGGCGCTTGCTATGGCTCCTGGTGCCCGTGTTCGCAGGCTTGGGCTGCGTGCGGCCATGCTGATGGACTAAGCGGATCTGCCAGAAGGGAAATACCAGATGTAAGGCTGGTGTTACAACGAGTTCCCACTTGACTTGAGCAGGGTTCGAAACCACTTGTCGTTGCGATTGCCGGGGGATTGAGGGCCTGTGAGGCTGCGTAAGTGTGGGATGCAAGTGCAGTGGCGTGGCAGAAGCGTAAGCACCTCGGCGTAAGAGTCCCCTACAACCTAGATTCAAAACAGGAGGTTTTGAACGCCGCTCACTTGCGGACGAGAAACAAACAAGCATCATGCAGGCAATTAAGAAGCGTAACCAGCGGCTTGATCCAAAAGGCACATTTTCGGCCAGTTCTGACTGCCCCAAAGGCAACCCATTTAAGGATCCAAACACTCGTGTATTTTTGTTCTTGAAAGAAGTCTGGCGCCAGCGTGAAGGAGGGTGAGTTGTGGGGCTGCTTGACACCGTATGTTAGTTTGCCTGCTGTGGGTGCCTGGCAGTCATCGATCAGTATGATGGCTGCTGAATTGCCGTTGATCATTGCATATGCTTCGGCAGCATGCCACAGGAAATCTTGCTCCCTGTCCACAAGTGGCTGCGCAGTGGTTCGCAATGAGAGACGAGTGGGAGCAATTTGCGCAATTTCGCTTGCATTACTGCGTGTGTCTGCCGCACGTGGGGTGGCTTTGGCTGGGGAGGTTTTGCAAAGTGGTGCTGCTTTTGCAGACAGGTCCCGTGATGCGCCGTGATGGGTGTGGAACTCGGACGCCTATCATGCTGGTGTCAGCTGACGCAACATTTGGTGCCATGTGTTGGCTTGGCCTTGGCTTCTGCAAGTTTGGGCCCATGAAGCAGGAGACAACGATTGGACTCACCGGAGAGTTCAGGAGTCACCACATCGCAGATGCCAGCAGCTTCAAAGGGAGCGCAGCCGAGGCAGCCGGCGGCTTCCAACCACTCGCATGCCAGGCATGGACGCGCTCGCTGCTCGCGTTAAGCTGGGCATACGAGTGCTAACGCTCTCGGTGCCTTCAAGATTAGTTGGGAAGCCCGGCCAGAGATTCACCGCAGGACTCTGCCCAGTTGAGAAAAATGAGTAAGATTCATCCAAGCTCAGGCCTTCGCCACAATGCCAAAGACCGATAGGGCATTTGCATGGCCGAGCCGAAGATTCGCGCGGGGTGTGCAGGCCATCGAGTCTTCTTCAGCTGGCATCGGGGGTGCAGCCATGCGGGATCAGGCTGAGCGAGGGTGGCCGGGTGTGTGCCTGGTTTGGAGGGATGTTTGGTTGGCGTGTTTTGTTGAAAAACATCCTGCTTCACGTGATTTGAGCACACAAACGCAAACACACAAACACACACAAGTACACGCACAGACACAACCACAAACACAAGCGCAAACACAAACACAGACACAGACACAGACACAGACACACAGACACACACACACACGGACACAAACACAGACTCACGCAGACGAGCACAAACGCAAGTCCAGACGCAAACGCACACACACACACACACACCCACCCACCCACCCGCACCCGCACACCGCACACCGCACACCGCACACCGCACCCGCACCCGCACTCGCACCCGCGCACGCGCACGCGCACGCGCACCCACACCCACACCCACACCCACACCCACACCCACACCCTCACACACACGAACACACACACACACACACAAACAAGACACACACACACACACGCGCAAGCACAAACATACACAGACACAATCACAAACACACACAAACACACATACAAACAGACAAACAGACAAACAGACATGCAGACAGGCACGTAGACAGACACAACCACAGACACAAACACGAACACACACAAACACACATACAAACAGACAAACAGACAAACAGACAAACAGACATGCAGACAGGCACGTAGACAGACACAACCACAGACACAAACACGAACACAAACACAAGCGCAGACATAGACAAGACACACACACAAACACAAACTGACACAGACATAGATAGAGACAGAGACGCAGACACAGAGACAAACACACACACACAAACACATACACAAACACACACACACACAGAACCACAGACAAACACAAACACAAACACAAACACAAACACAAACACAAACAACACACGCAAACACAAACAGACATAGACACAGAACAGACACAAACACAGACAGACACAAGCACAGACACAAGCACAGACAAACAAACACAAATGCAGACGCAAACGCAGATACAGACACAAGCGCAGATCGACACATTGACAATCACAGACACAAACACAAACACAAACGCAAGCACAAACAACACACACCCAAACAGACACAGACACAGACACA